TTTTCAGTTTTCCTTGTGATAGATAGTGCTAATCCTCTCACAGTACATTTTTGGATCACTCCTCCCTTTTTCCCAACTCCTTGCACCACAAATGGTGCACATCTCAACACATCAGGTTTTTTATTAGGCAAGATGGAGGTTTTCCTTTTCAGCCCACTCTCAGGTCCTGGTGGTGTTGCTGAGCCCTTCGGCCAGGCTACGGTCCGTGGAGCTTTGACTGCAGATCCTGTTTTGCCCTGGCTGAATAAGTGAATGAGGCAGGTTCACACCCTTGAATGATGCCACTGCTGAATATAAAACATAAACACTTTGCTTGAGAATAACTGCCAGGACAGCTCTTCCCAGAGAACATCTTAAGCTTGGAGTTGGGACCTGGCAAAGCTATGCTTACTTGCTTCTGTGCTCAGGCAGCCTAAGCTGTGTTTTTCACATCTTTTCCCTGTAGCCAAAAGCTACAAGGAGTGCTGACAACATCTGGTGGCAGCAAAGGATCTTCTGTAGGTTACACAGATCTAAGAGGATGTGCTGTCTGCTTTCCCTATGATCCAGGTCTCCAATCTCCATTTCCTTGGAATGCTGTTACTTCCATGCTATAAGGTAAAACAAGCGGGTAAGGCAAGGAAGGCATCATCAGCTGCAAACCTATGCCAGGGCTGCAGGTCCGTTACCCAGCTCCACCACCTGTACAGGTGGAGGTAGGAGAGAAAGGGATTTGTCATCCCACAATGGAGTTCCCAGCTCTCGTGCAAGTGGTATGAGTTAAGCAAAAGACAAGAGGAAAAACAATTCTTTGCTTCTGGGAAAATGAATACCCTAAATGCAAACTAGCAGGAAAAAAAGACCTATACATGCTTTGGCCATGAGCAAAAATCACCAACATTTCAGCTACTGTTTGTGTTGGCGCACAAAGTGTTTTCCTTCATACAACACAAGCATAACAAATTTCAATCTTCAATTCACCAAAAAAAAAAAGAAATTCCAGATGGCAGGTCAGGTTTATTATAGTCATTTTCCTGACAGTCGAAGTTGGGGGGCCTTCCTAGAACTGACCTGGTACTCAGAGGAGTCTGACTGGAAACTACACTTAGTCAATGCTTCTGGTCAGCTTCAATATAAGTCTGTTTAAGGACCCTAAATACAGAGTTTAAGAGTCTTTCAATATTCTGCTCCAATGACCATGACAAAGCAGCCTTTATTAACCTTAATGTTTAAGAGAGCAAAGAGATTTTGTCATCTGCATCCTGTAGTGACTGAACACAGAAAGCATTTGAGTTAATTGAGTGCAGACAGACTGGAGAGAGGAACTACCTAAAACTACAGTGCTTAGCAGCTGACTCTATCTAAGCTTGTGGCTCATGAGCTGAGTGCAGCATTTGCACCTGGGAAATAATTGACACCATGATGATTACTTTTATTTGAACTCAAGGAGTTCCAGAAAACTGCACTTCACATATGGTTGTGGCACTTTTCCTCCACTCCCACACTTCTTTCCTGGATCAACTCAGAAGCAGGAGAAGGCAAAGATATGAGTCGCAAGCCTACCTTGAAAATGGCTGAGTTGACTTGACAGGAAGTCAACACAGGGAAGACCAAGCTGCTCTCTGAGCCTGTCCTACTTTTTGTAGGAGATGATTTTTCCCAACAGCAGTGTAACAAGCAGTTGGCCCAGCAAAAGCTGCAGTTGATTTTGCTGCTCTATTCAGAGCTTTATCCAACATTGATTAATGTCTTGTCTTGCCCATGGTAACCTTCCTTT